CTCTGTTGCCACCAGGGTGATCTTTCTAAAATTTAATTCTGGATGACATTGAGCATCCTTCTGACTTTGAGATAAAATCCATATTCCTTGGCAGAGTGTAAGAACTCTTCAGTGACTTCACTTCTGTCTGTTTTTCCTTCACAACCTTCCTTCAGATCCTCAAATTTAGCATTCTCCAAATCACACACTTTAATAACTATGATCCAGACAGATCTGCTGGATTATAAACTTACATGCTGGGGAATTGCATGTGCCATTCATTTTACGAGAATGCCCACTTCCTATCCCCATTCCCCTCACAGACATACTTTCTAGTCACTCAGTCTATACATTCATTCTTCAAGACTCATGAAATACTTTCTTTTAAATGTCTCCTCTGGACTACATCTGCTTGTGTAGAACACGCGTAGCACTAACTAAATGTTAAAATGGATGATTTCAACTCTTGGTGTTAGTTGAACAAATGAAATGTGGCCTCTTATTTTTCCTACCTGGTGATTCATCTAGTATTGAAATTTTATTTTATTTATTTTTTTGAGATAGTCTCACTTTGTCACCCTTAGTTGAGTACCATAGTGACATAGCTCAAAGCAACTTTAAACTCTTGGGCTTAAGTGATTCTCTTACCTCAACATCCTGAGTAGTTGGGACTATAGGTGCCCGCCACAATGCCCAGCTTTTCTTTTTTTTTTTTGAGACAGGGTCTCTCTCTTCCTTAGGCTGGTCCTAAACTCTTGAGCTCAGGCAGTCTACCCACCTCAGCCTCCTAGAGTGCTAAGATTACAGATGTGAGCCACTGTGACCAGCCTACTTCAAATTTTAGAACAGGAAATTTTTTCTATGGAACGTTTATTAATGTTTGATAATTCAGCATGATACTGATAACAAAAATTTGTAGAAAAGGTGCCTATATCTTTAATTAGGTATTATTCAGATAATAGAGAACCTCTCTAATATTTTTTTCTTCTGTTTTTTAAATAATTTAGCTTACTATAAATGCATTAATGTACACAGTTGTGATTTAATAAAAAATATATAATTAAAAAAACAATAATTTAGCTTACTGGCAGTATCTCCAAAGAGAGATGATATTTATCTGGTCTTTGTTTCTTTTTTAAATAACACTAATAAGGAGGTCCAGTAAGGACAGAGACAGAAATAAGTTCCTAGTGCATATACCCAGCTTGTCTTTATATCCCTTTATACCTCCTCTGCCACATTTGTCTCCATAATTAGATATGTCATTGACATTATTATCTATTAACCTCTAACAGAGCAAAGTTGAGACCTAATTACAACATAAGGATAAACCTTAAGAATGTTTTAACTGTTTTCCATGACCGTAAACATGCCTAGTATCTCATATGTTTATAACATCAGGTACCAGGAATCAGCTGGTACTATGTCAGAAAGTATTATATTGAAATCAGTGTTTTTCCTTTGTGTCTTTCTTTTCTTAAAAACTGATGAGCTGGGGTGGTGCCTGTGGCTCATCGGAGTATGGCGCCAGCCCCATATGCCAGAGGTGGTGGGTTTCAAACCCAGCCCTGGCCAAAACTGCAAAAAAATTAAAATAAAAATAAAATCG